TATAAAGTATTCAAGTATATGGCTAATCAGTTTCTATAGCGGCTCATAGTTAGAGATAAATCTCATCCAATTGAATTTTCCTATAGATTAGTCAGATATGCTATTCAAACGTTTCTTATAGACGTCATTAAATTATATCTATCCTATTACAGAGATAAGCAATATTTTATCTGATGAATCACTGTGCGCACAGTCGGCGCCTTAATTAAATACAGTCGAGTTTCGATAAATCGAAAAAACATTCTATTCCCTTGAATGAAATTCGTTCTCAATAATTCTCGATAATTTGGATTTCTGTGTAAATCGAAAATAGCTGATCCCCTTGCCATTTCGAATTATTGTGATTCTACTATACATATAATATAATATATAATTATATATACATAGCTAATATGCTCACCATTCAAACATATTCAAAGAGATGATATAGAACAACAGCCTTGCTGCTAGTTACAAATTTGAAAGCCCTTCAACATATTTCATTTCAATAATAATTGAAAATACAGAGTGCAAAAAATTACTTAAATAATTTCGCATTCATAGCCGCTATTCAGCTAAAACCGCATAATATTGCAGCGATTGCTTAACCGTGAGCCCTTTTAGCCAATTTATTGTTGTACTACTACTTATGCTGGCCGCAGAAGCCGAACGAAAATTTATATGCATGGAATTCAATTCGAGTGCTCTCACAACATGTGATCATTTACATTTAACTGGCAATTCGCAAATTTACAATTCGAGTCGAGTGCAATTACTTAGGACGAGGGGAGCAGGGGCGAGTGGGGCTCGACGGGGTTCGATGGGGTCAGCCATATGGAAAATGACCAAGTAATCATTTTACAAAATCAACAAGCATCAACGAATTCCCACAACGCCGCAACGACGAGTGGCATAAACAGCACATTAAGGAATAAATATATCAGGCAAATAGGTCGCTCGGCTGGCTTTGCCGTCAGACGTGAGAAAGTGAGAGAGAAAGCAAATAAGATGAATGTAGTCAGGAGTAGCCGACTGCGCAATACACGCTCAGCATTTACAGTGGGGATTAGAGGGAATTTTTATGGAAGTCCGATTCAAATAGAATTCATACGACTCTTCCACTTCATAAATCAAGCATAAATGCAAACTAATATACTCCTTTTACTGAGGTCTATAAAAAATCCACACACACACACACAGCAGACTGGACTGGCCTATATAAATAATTTACTGCTTAGAGCGAGACGGCTATAGTAATAGGCATTTGATATCTCTTTCTTGTTTTTATGACTATCGAATCGACCACAAATTTACTTTTTAGCACTTGGTCCCAGCTCGGGGCATACTCATGTGGTAGAAAACTGGGTCCGCCACTGGATTTACGAGCAACAAATTTATGTTTGTTGCCTATTTTTATTTGACTTGCGTGCTTAATGGCCATGCCACCAGGACGCTTCATGTTCATGGCTCGACTACAACGCCTCCGACTGCTGTTCTAGCTCCGACTCCTGCTGGTGCTCCTGCTCCTGCTCCTGCTGCTCCCAGCTCATTTGCCCAGAAGCGATTGAGCGCCTCCCAGTCGACGCGACAATGGCAATCAACATGGACCTTCCAATGAACTAGTTGGTGACACACTTACACACACGCACACACACTCACACAGAGACACAATTATGATTGTCCTGCGGCGAAAGTGCTGCTTGAACTTTTCCCTCATTGTTGCCTTTCGCAAAATTTTCATTGAGCCGAGTCGCGCCTAATGAGCCTAATGCTCCACGCAATTGACATTTTACTTAAGGATTTCGCAAGAAGTCCGTGTAATTAGAAAGCAATAACAATTACCGCACAATTATGAAGCTTTCGCTTAATCTCGGCTAAAGCTTGAGCCGTTCCGCACTTCCGAGTTTTTTGCCATAACAAAATTAAGTGCATTAAGCATTAAAGGCCGCCAACTTAAATTAGAGTAGGAAAACAAAATAATAACGAAAATCAAACAAACTTTTTGCTATTTAACCAATCGCAGCTAATTGCTCGCAATATATTATATGTATATGAAAATCTCTAAAATTGTTGTCCTTGAGTCGAGTTGATTCATTATTTTCTGCCATTGACTGCGGCTAAAAGCCAATTTCATGTGCTTGAAAATTAAATTGCTGTGAAATTTGCGTTTATAAAGAAGCATTAGCAAATTATACGCTTAACCAGGGCAGCAGCGGCTGTTAACGGCTTTGAATGTTTGATAATGTTTTTTGAAGAGTTTATGTTTATTGACTCGGGGCGCCATATTTCTGAGTGCTTAAATACTAACAAAATAATAATTTAAAAGAAGCTGATTAGCTTATTAATTGAATTATTTTAAGGATATTCTATAAAAAAAATATCAAAATTTTAAAAAAGTAACTCAAGCATTTAATTTTGTACTTTTATTATATTTTGTATTTTATATTTATTTTTAGTTGTATATTTTTGATTATATTAATTATATTTGTATTTGTATTTAATTTGTATGATTATTATTATTTTTATTCTTCGTATTTGTATTTATTATTTTATACGTTTATTATGATAATTATTTATTATTATATATTAGATATATTTTATATAATTATTTATTATACAAATTAAAAAAAAAAAATCTAATAAATATATATAATCTTTTCTTCAGTTCATTAAATAAATTTAAAAAATTTTTACAAAAAATATTTATAGTTTTTAATTCCATAATTTTATGAATAATACCATGCACTAAAATTTTCCTATTAGCTTAAAATTTGTACGGGTAAACCATTCATTTAAAAGAATCATTAAATATGTGCCATTATATTTCCAGAAAATTCAATATATAGTAAAAACTGCATGCAATGTATGCAATGGTTTCATATTTTAATATATTTTTAAACTCTGCCCCTCTCTCTCTTTCGCTCTCTTTATAAGCACAAATTGAGCCAAAATATAAATAAAAAATTGTATCAATAAAATTTTGGTGTCCCATTGATGTCTCCCTTCTCGCATTTAATGTCAACATTCAAACGTAATGAACGCACTGAGATATGAATCCCAGATCGAATATAAAATGAAACAAAAACAAAAAAAAAACACCTGACAAGCAAAACAAAATCAGAACAGAAAGCATTCAAATAACGCCAGGTGACATTTACCGTTACAAAACAATAAAAATAAAATTCCACAACAACAACAACAATGGGGCAAAAGAATCTCTGGATGGGGTGGGGTCAAAAAAACGAAATGCCGAGCCTTTATTCCTGAATGGCCAACAGGCGCGCCAGAAATTTGACAGTCGATTGACAATACAGCCTATTGGCAGCAAAGGGTTGCACAGTGACACAAACTCTATGAAAATTGCACCATAATGAAGAAGAATGTTTGAATAGTTAATCTAAATTACTAAATGTTGAGCACATACTGAGTTTAATAATAAAATTAAGCATTGTAATTACATAAAGCTTATAGATTTTTCTCTTGGCTCATTTCAAACAGTTTGCCCACCACGGTGCCATGGTCATGGGGTTATGTTTAAAGGGGAGTAGCGGGTGCCATAAAAGGTCAGTTGAGAGAGAAAATGTTGTCCATTGGGGCTGGGGGATGGGGGGTTTTATGAGGCATCTTTGTGCGGGCGTCATAAATATTTGCACGCTTCGGCATGCTGAAAATAACTTTTTCTTTTCTCATTTTATTTTATACATATAAATATATTTACTGTTGTTGTTGTTGTTGTTACTGAATACCCTACGCAACGAAAAAGTTGCCCGCAGTGTGCGGCATATTAAATATTTTATATGTGCACTACACAGCCAGGACAGCTAAAAGCGGGCCGAAGGGCCGAACGGGGAGGGGGATGGGAGAGGCCAGAGCCAAAGCACATGAGACATGGGGCTGGTTTCACTGTGGGCGGTGAAATTTGTATCGCTGCTCCTGCTCAACCAAAAACGCTTCTGTCTGCTTTCAGATTGGACTTCAGCCGCAATTACACGCACTGCAATGCCTCGCTGCTCGTCAACGACACGTTGGCCATGTCCGGGGATCAGCCGACATGGCTGAAACTGTTGCCACCGCGACTGCACACGCCCGAGGTCATATTGAACACTTGGCTGCATTTGGGCGGCGCACCCCAGGCGCCAATTGGCCTCATTATCGAACTGCCGCCAGCTCAAAGCGGCACCGGCTTCACCGGCTGTCTACATACACTGCGCATCAATGGACAGGCTCGCGAAATCTTCGGGTAAGTCATCCTTAATAGACCGGACTGCCGAGCATGGCAGTTGGCCATTTGGCCATTTGGGGGCGCTAATAATGAGCGAGGCAAGTCAAGGAAAGTTATGCGGCCGCCTCTTAAATGTTTATGCCACATGCCACCAAGTTGCAGGTAGCCCAGTAAACGAGCTCTGCGGGAATATGCAGTAAAATCATACGCAGGATTAAATGAGCACTAAGCCCAGTCGGTGCGCGGCAGCGCCTCGGTACAGAACAGTTGCTAAACTTGGGCACATCAAAAGAAATCAGCTAACGAACATTTCTGCCATTGAAGTTTACGGCGGAACCTTACCAAGCAGAAAAATACGTCAATCATTAGCGTAAACAATTGAAGGAAAACTGAAAACCCGAGAAGAACAAAAACTAGTCAAGAAGCTAAATCATCAAATTCCATTCAAAGAAAGCAAAGTCAGGCAATCAAAATTGAATCATCATCACAAAAGAAATTAGAGCAATCTGAAGCAATAGCGCTCGATAGTCAACTAATTGGCGCTGAATTATCGATAAACAAAGTCTATATTTTAAACTCTGATTATAATCAATTTGGTTTCAGTTTAGTGATTTACAATTAGAAAAGATTGTATATAAATGTGATGAAAAACATTCGAAAAATATAGAATTCGATAAACGATTAACGCCTAATTGACTACCAATATAGATAATTTTAAGGCAACATTAAAAATATTATTAAAAATCTCATAGAAAAACCTAGTAAATAAACTTTGATACATAACACATTTAGAACATACCTTTCGATAATCAGCTTTCGATAAACCACAGTTGATAAACGATCATCGACAAGTACCAGTTAATAGACAGCATTCGATAAGACGCATTCGTAAGACCGCAGTCGAGTTACAGTCATCTAAGAACATAATTTAACAAACATTAGTCGATAAACAGAAATCGATATACATAATTCGATGATAAAGATATAAGGATATGAACAGTGTTAGATCCAACTAATTCGATAAACAACAGCTGATAAACAGTATTCCAAATACAGGACTTGATAAAAAACAGCGGTCGATAAAAAATAATCGATAAACAGCACTCGATAAAAATAAAACATTTAACATATTTACTTCATAAAACACATGATTACTGCTACGGCACTACTTAAGTAAATAAGTAAATAATCAAAAATAGAATCTCGATATGAAATCTATTTTCATTTTATTAGTCGCAAACATTACTTATGACAGTATAATGAAGTACAAAGCTAAATAGCATGAAAAGCCATGCTGAAAGACTAATAATGCTAAATATGTATACACGCTACTCAATAATATATCCCACCATATATCCGAAACAAGAAGAAAACAACATTTCATTTTAATAGAAGCAAAGATAACTGATAGAACTTTAATAGAAGCAATCGATAGCCCATAATATCTATATGCCCAAACTATATATGCATATATTTCCATTAGAATAAACTCAATTTACTATTCACTCTCTGTATTATTATTAATATCGATAAGCATTGGCTGCGCTAGCCCTTTGACAGTTTAACCCAGCAGTTAAATCCAGCAAATAGAAGGAAGACAAAATGTCAACGTTAAGGGGACATTACGAATTAAACCAATTTTAGCACTTTGCAAACGACGGATTGTGTATAGATAGTCGTATAAGAAGGGGAACGAGTCGAGAAATGCGAAAGCCATTTGTCAGCGCATTAAAACGCACTCACCAACAGCCGGTCAGGGCGGACAACAAGATAAATGGTTGACGGGGCGCCGTGCTGACAACAGTGGGCGTAGAAGGAGCATAGGGAAGTGGGCGTGACAGTTGTAGGCCGGGACTCGAACAATTGGCATGCGAATTAGCAGCGGTGTAATGAAATTGGAGATGACACTAACCAGCCTTTTAACCCATTTCTTACCCCACCCCAACCTAGCGACGCTCTGGATGGCTTTGGCATTACGGAATGCGGCTCATTGGCCTGCCTGTCGAGTCCGTGCCGCAATGGCGCCGCCTGCATCAAGATTGAATCGAACGAGCTGGACGAGAACGGTGACAAGGCTGAGAAATGGAAATGCAAATGCCCCACCGGCTACATGGGCCCGACCTGTGAGATATCCGTGTGCGAGGACAATCCCTGTCAATATGGTGGCACCTGTGTCCAATTTCCGGGCAGCGGCTACCTCTGCCTCTGTCCGCTGGGCAAGCACGGCCATTACTGCGAGCACAGTGAGTGTCATTTAACGTATTCCCCTTTGAATTCATTTACTTTACTCCATTTTCATTTCATTTTTTTTTTTTTTTTTTCACTTGACAGATCTCGAGGTGGCACTGCCCTCCTTCTCGGGCAGCGTCAACGGCCTCTCCTCATTTGTGGCCTACACGGTGCCCGTGCCCCTGGAGTATTCGCTGGAGCTGAGCTTTAAGATCTTGCCACAGACCATGTCGCAGATCTCGCTGCTCGCCTTTCTGGGCCAGTCCGGCTATCATGACGAGAAGAGCGATCATCTGGCCGTCAGCTTCATACAGGGCTACATAATGCTAACCTGGAATCTGGGCGCTGGACCGCGACGCATCTTCACACAGAAGCCCATCGACTTTCGGCTGGATGCACCGCGTGTGCCCTACGAGATCAAAGTGGGTCGCATCGGCCGTCAGGCCTGGCTCTCGGTGGATGGCAAGTTCAATATCACCGGCCGCTCGCCCGGCAGCGTCAGCCGCATGGACGTCCTGCCCATACTCTATCTGGGCGGCCATGAGATTGCCAACTTCAATACGCTGCCTCACGATTTGCCGCTGCACTCGGGCTTCCAGGGCTGCATCTACGATGTCCAGCTGAAGGCCGGTCAGGTGACGGTGCCGTTGCAGGAGACTCGCGGTGTCCGAGGGCGCGGTGTCGGACAATGCGGCACGCGTGAGTGCCACAGGCACGCCTGCCAGCACGACGGAGCCTGCCTACAGCATGGCGCCACCTTTACGTAAGTGGATAATTACCTTGATTACTTTGTTTGGGTAGGCAGAAAATTTTATATAAAAACTTTTATTGCATTACTAAAAGTGTAGAGCATTTAACAATCGTCTTTCAGCATTAAAATTGACATACAATCATTTCGATGTATCCAAGCCAAATTTAATATTGATCAAAGGATTTTGAAGTTTCTACATAACTTTGTAACCCTTTTTTATGGAATTTGGTGGTAATATAATAACACGATAACATTGAAAATGGGAAATCAGGGTATAATGGTTTTCTTAAATGTATGTAACAGGCAGAAGGACATTTTTTTCCTAGGTCCGTGTATACCACGCGCATATCGAGTTTTTCTTTGAATATCGATAACTTGCCCCGTTATTTTGTTATCGATTAAAAACATTATCGAAAATCAGTTTACATCTTTAAAGCTATAGTATCCAAAATTTATATGTATACTTATAGGCATTTTATACAATTTCGGTTTTTGTCAAAACTTACCCCCCACCCCTTATTCACCCCCTCACCATCACATTTGTAAAAGGCGAATTTCAAATACTAGGGACTTGTGCTTTGGCAAATGCATGCATATCTATGTTATATTCAAAATCTGAAAATTTCATGAAGATTGTTCATCCACAAGAAGAGTTATTAAACAATTAACTTCCCATATAAGCCACCACTGCAGCCAATGCGTGTTTATGCGTGCGTGCGTATGGCTCTGTGTGCGTGCATGTGTGTGCATATGCGAATAATTATTGAAATATCAGTTGCTCGAAGGGTTCAGGGGATCTCGTAGTCGGGCGGTCTCGACTAGAGCTTGTTGATAAAATAAATTATCTGAAGGTTCCATAATGATCCCACTATATTCTAGTTGCCTATGGGCCAGAATTGGTTCGCCAATTGATGTCTAAAATTTGTAGCAGCTGTCAAGTCACGGCTGTTAGTGTGGACTTTACTTTATAAAAGTTAACGAGTCTCATATAAAATCTAATGATTTTTTCCTTTCTCATATTCCGGTCACAGTTGCATCTGCCAGGAGGGCTGGTATGGACCGCTCTGCGCCCAGGCCACAAACCCCTGCGACTCGTTCAATAACAAATGCTACGAGGAGGCAACTTGTGTGCCGCTGGTGAATGGCTACGAATGCGACTGTCCAGTGGGACGCACGGGCAAGAATTGTGAGGAAGGTGAGCGGAAATTGCATAACTTTTACGATTTAATATTAATATACACATGTATGTGTGCATGTGTACATTCAATAATGTAATATTGTGTACATAATATATTATTATTCTCATTGTAGAAATACGTTCACTTAGCGACGTCTCACTGACCGGTCGCCGTTCGTATCTGGCCGTGCGTTGGCCCTATCTCTATGATGGCGGGGATAAGCTGGGCGCCAAGCGCTCCCAAATGGTCAGCTATCGCAACTTTACTAAAAAGTTGCTGCCGCCCAAGCCCATCTCGACGCCCAGCACTCACTTTGTGATGAAACTGCTCAACGAGGTGGAGAAGCAGCGCAGCTTCTCCCCGGTGCCGCTGATGGGCTCCAAGACGTTCGAGGAGCACCATCGTGTGCAGTTCTTTTTCATCGAATTCCAACTACGTCCACTCTCCGAGCGTGGTCTGCTCCTCTACTTTGGCACGCTGAACAACAATCAGGATAAGAAGATTGGATTCGTTTCGCTGTCGCTGCAAGGTGGCGTTGTCGAATTCCGCATTTCGGGACCCAGCAATCATGTGACCGTGGTCCGGAGTGTGCGGATGCTGGCCATCGGCGAGTGGCACAAGATCAAAATGGCCCAGCGCGGTCGCTGGCTAACCTTGTGGGTGGAGGGCAGCGCCTCCTCGGCCCTGGCTCCGTCCGCCGAGGTGTTGGTCGAGCCAGATGCCCTGCTCTACATTGGCGGCCTCAAGGATCTCTCCAAGCTGCCGTACAATGCCATCTCCGGCTTTCCCATACCATTCCGTGGCTGTGTCCGCGGCCTCGTCGTCAGCGGCACTCGCATTGTTCTCAACGAAACGAATATTGTGGGTAAGTCACAAATGCACAAAATATGACAGCAAATAATTGATGGCCTTCCATTCCCAGTCCCAGTCCCATTCCCATTCCTATTCCCATTCCCATTCCCATTCCCAGTCTCAGCACACAGCATAAAACATTTCCCATTAATGAAAAGTATAAATATACTTTTCGTATATATTGTATATATATCAATTAAATTAATAACCATAAATCATGGGCACATGCAAGTCGAATGAGTCTCGGGGAAAGTTATGCAAACTGAGAGTAAAGGAAAATGGAATTCGAATTCCAATTGGAATTTTGGCAATTTTTAAAATAAATCGAGATATAAGAGAGCTTTAATTTTAATAAATATAAATGATTTATTAAAAAAAAAAGTCTTTCTAATCCAACCTATTTGAGCAATATCAAAAATCATTTTCAATCAAAAATAAAAAGTTTGACACTTTTTTATAAGTTTAAAAAAAAAACAGCAAATGAACTTAATTGAAGCTGCAGCTCAAAAATTTAGAGATATTTTATATGTCCATTTGCTACGCCTCCAAAAATATTTAATTTCTTGTATAAATTAATAATATAATATTTATAAAGGAAATTGCCTGAAAGCCTTCGTTGCTCTGGCTTAAAACTTGTTATTTAGAATTTATTCTTTGTAACAATAAATAAATAAATATAAAGGAAATATGAAATATACATAAATATTAGTCATTAAGTAAATAATATACTGTAATTATGCAGCTATAGATGCAAAACTTTGGGAGATACAGTTTCTTTTCGATTTTCCACGCCACTGAAGAGTTAATTTAATCGATGAAACCTAAAGTAATAAATCTAAAATAGTATAACATACAGATGGTTCGATTTGCCACGCCACGAACAGACGAACGGACAGACAGACAGATGATTTCAGCTTTTCACTATGATCTAGAATATAGATACTGATTGAAAAACTTATCAGCCACGCCTCCTACTGACAATTACATGTATATTAAAATAATTAATATGATTTTCAATGGGTGCATATATTCAAATTTAATTAAATGCATTCATTTATTCATAGAATCGCGTAACATTCGAGACTGCGATGGCACCGCTTGCGGCGGCGATTCCTGCGAATCTGGCGGCCACTGCTGGCTGGACGAGAAGCTGCAGCCGCATTGCATCTGTCCGGATTATGCCAAGGGCGATCGTTGTGAATACTCGGAAACGTGCAAGCTAATACCCTGTAAAAACAATGGACGCTGCTTGCGCAGTGGCCGCTGCTCCTGTCCCAATGGCTGGGGCGGCTTCTACTGCGAGATTGGTAAGTAGCTAAAGGGGGGGCAACGGGGAAACTGGTGAGTGGCACATGCCTAAGCCAGGTCAATGACCTCAGTGGGGCTCTAATTGAAAGTTTTTGGATGCGCTGCGCAAAACTCTGGGTTTTTTCTCTTCACTGTTCATAATTGCCAACTCGTGTGTCGAGCTGTCATTTCCTGACTGCAACTGGGATAGAACAGGTTGGGGGGCCAGGCAATTCGTCATCGAATTAGTCAAGCGCCAGATGTTTAGTTAGTGCTTAATGTCCGTAGCAACAATAAAAAGAGTAGAAGCAACAGTAACAACAACAACCACAACAACAAAAGCAACAGCAGCAGCAGTAGCTGGGCAGCAATGAAAGGCATAAATCATTTCACTTGAAAATCTTCAAAACGAGTTTCATAAATCTCCAGAGCCAAGTTGAAGTTCAATGTGTCAGCAAAGTAAAAGTTGAGCTTACAGCAATATACAGAAGCTACAACGAGCAAAGATCTTAAAATGTCAGAAAACTGATTTTATTTTACTTACTTTTTTTTTTTTTTTTTGTATATAGAAATTGCTTTTATCTGATGTTCTCGGTTCAAATGCCGAAACAAGTTTTCAATTTCGAATGCTAAAAACAAATGACAAAACCCAAAAAAAAAAAAAAAAAAAAAAAAAACCAACAACAACAACGAAATACAATCTAACACAACAATATTATTATTATAATTAGAGATCTACAGCAAGGGAGAGACATGAAAACAAAACCATTAACAGCACCACGAATCTTATGGTTCGATGCGCAGCGGGGTCAGGAAGTTGATATCGCAAAAAAAAATATGTATATATATAAAATAAAACAAACAAAGAGACAAAAATAACGCTAAAATTAGTAATCTACAAAATACAAATATATATGTATGAATATTTATATATATATACAACAATAAAATAGAAAAGCATAATTTGCATGCCTGGGAACATGCTTTAGGAGATTCCGCGAAAAAGTATATTGTAGTTAACAAATAGAACAGAACCCTGGTGTTTTAGGAAAATAAAAAAAATAAAAAATAGTAAAAATAAAAAAGTGAGAAACAATAGATCATATATATTATATTGAAACTACTAGCATTAGAAGGCAGCAATTTTATATTAGAATTTAAAACAACTAAGATTATTAGGTCTAGTCGGGTATAATCCCCTCCATAATACGTAAAGAGCAGTAGCTTCATTCCTACGGAGATTAAGATGGACATTATATGAATTCAATAGACTCTTCTAATTTAAGGCAGAGTAAAAATTTAAATATCTAAGAACTGTCTAGGGCAATAAAGCAATTAAGGATCCATAGAAAAAACGAAAATCCATTTGTATATAGATGTAGATAGACTGATAAGAAACTTGATAATATAATAGCAAACACAGTTTATATATAATATAAAAAATAAAAAAAAAAAAAACCTTTTTGCTGCATTTGCATAAATCTAAATCATTTATTAGCGGCATTGTGTGGTTTTAGTTTTTTATATGAATTTATAGGAGACAAAAGAGTCTTTAAAATAATAAATAGTACAAAAATAAAATGAAAATAAATTAAATTTATTATAAAATAATAATTAATAATAATTAATAATTAAATTTATTATAAAATAATACAAAATTATAAAATAAATTTAATTATACAAATTATAATATATAAGTAAATAAAATATATATAGTAAATTTCATATAAGCAACTTTCATACCATATACCAGAGACCAAAATTACCCTTCTATCTAGCTGATCCTAATATCAATTACTAAAAACATGTTTCGTTTTCAATAGAAAATACCTCAAACTCATTAAGTGAAAATGAGATAAAAATTAAGAAAAAAAAACCCCAAACAAAGTATTTACGCAGGAAGCCTCAAAGTTTTGAGCATAAAACAGAGTTTTATCACTATTTGTTTTGTGGCCTGGCTGAGTTATTCAATTGACTGTTTGGTATACAATCAGTATGCTAGCTGGCTAGCTAGCTGGCGGGCTAGCTGGCTGGCTGGCTGGCAGCCTTTCACTTATTAGCAAAGTGAATTAACATGCCACTAATAACAATAAGCCATAAACAAGCTGGTGAAAAGACGAAGCAACAAGTGCAATCAAGTTGAGTGGCAGCAAAATGGGAAAGACAACAAAACGCAAATTCATAATCAGAATCCAAAAAGTGGAAGCCACGGCAGTAGCTATAGACGAAGCAGAGGAAGAACAACACGTAGATCTTGTCGAACAGATAAGATAGAGCGCAGCCAAAAGAAGCGCCAAACGAGATCAGGGACTTGCAGACAGACGAAAAGACAACGGCCAAATGGTATAATGAGCCAGACATAATAAGTAGAGAGAACTCAGATCTTTATATGTAGTCGAAATAAAAATACCCTATGTAGAAATCAAATAGTCTGAAAATAGTGTGAAACTTAATCAAAAGATTTATTTTTATAATAGTCTTGCACTATATGTCGATTGAGATTATATTTTATGAATTCAGATTTGACTTATGCATACCCTATCAAATTCCAATTCTTGCTTAAATGATATTAGATGATATAGGAAAATCTTAATTATAGTATTACAAAATTGTTAATTTTATAATTAATTACTACTTTTTAAAATTATAAATTTTATTTTTTTTTATACTTGCTTTTATTGTTATTATTATTATTTTTATTTATTTGTTTATTTTTTTTCTCTCTTTTTTCATTGAATTTATTAATATTTGAACTAAAATAAATGAATTAATTAATAAATGTTTTAACTATTGACTAATAAGCACCTTCTAAACGTTACAAAATCGACAACAAATTCAATATACTCTACTCTACTGTTATATTGATCAACATTAGTCTATTGTTAATGATGAAGTAAATTGCATTTGTGTGACGCTGTTGCCGATGCTGTAATTTCATTATGCATTTGTAGCACACACACATGCACACACTCACACACTCACACACGTACACCTGTAGCATGTGTACATGCAATATGTTTTATGCATTTTAACTAACTTACTGCTCTCTCTCTCTCTCTCTATCTGTTTCTCCCCTTCTCTGTCTCTTCTTCGCAGCACTGAGCAAACCAACAACACCGAGCTTCCGCGGCAACAGTTACCTGATCTTGCCACCCCCTCGCATTCCAATGAAAGACAAACGCCGCGGCCCTTCGCTCTATGCACGTCCACCACGCGAAGCCGTACAAATATCGCTGAACTTCTCGACCATCGAACCGGATGGCCTATTGCTCTGGAGCGAACACAATCAACTGAAATTCTTGGGCCTCGGCTTGGAGAACGGCCACCTGAAGCTGGCGAGCAATTTACTGGGCAGCATCAATGATACCGTGCAGGCGGCAGCGAGCGGCTTTATTGCCGATGGCGCCTGGCATGCTACGAGCGTGCTTCTGGATCGCACACGGCTCGAGCTGCAGCTGGATGGGTCCGTGATATTCACAGAGCGATTGCCCGAGCTCAATCGAAGGCTGACAGCAACACCAACGACATCGTTGCAGCGACGGGGGGGCAAGGAGCCAACGATTAGCTATGAGGATATTTTCTTTTTGGGTAAGTACTGGTCACACTTTGCATGCTAATTGGAAAAGGCTCTCTTACGTATTAACGTATTTCACCAGTTGCCCGATTGCAACCTCTGCATGTTTCTCAGCAATTAAAATTAAATAGTTGCGCAGACTTACCCTATGTTTTGTAATTCATAAATACTGCTGATTGTTTATTATCCGTCTTTGAATTCATCAAATGCATTCGCGGCGCCCGCTTCTCAGCCACAAGTGTTAACTCGCATGGAACTGTAGCGCCGGCGCAGATGTGCAATACACTAGTAGAAAGACGCGTCACGAATCAATGGGCCACAAGAGCGAGCAGGATAGCTGCGAACTTTCAACACGGCACGAAGGCAGAGAACGTCTGCGTTGTGTCTATCCAAAGCTAATTTAATACTTGTTGCGTTTTGCGATTCTGATATCTACGTTGCAAGCCCTGTACACTTTCAGAGTTTAGATCACTTCACCCAGCAGCAAACAATATTATATGATACATTCATTATAACACACAATACACAACCGCGTCTAGGGGGCTTTCAACAATTACTAAGCCTCAGTTAATAGAGATGTGCAACGGCTCAAAACATTGAGTGATCGTATATCGATTAAAAAATATCGCTATCATGCATAAATGTTCTATTAATACCAGCTTAAAAAATCGAAAATAACGCTGTTATATTTAAATGCAAGCGCATTGATCCATATAACAAATGTATGTGATTTAATAAAAGTCATACAGTAAAATCAAATATTCAATTTACTGCTATAAATATTTTCATTGCTGCCTATAAATATTTTGTATTATTATATTTATTATTATTAAAATTTGCGTTAGCCATGTAGCTTTTTATTTTTTTTAAATCCAGCATAGCACTGTTACTTAACAGAGAACTGTTAACACACAGCTGATAACAACACTTGCAAAGAGTTGGCAGCGCACAATTTTTCTCTCATGCAATCTTTAACGGTTATTTGAATTTTTGGCTATTTAACAGGTGGATTTCCCAATCAGGAATCGGTTAGCAAACGGACACAGGGACGCTTTTACGAACCATTCAAAGGCTGCCTACAGGATATACAATTCGGAGCAGAGCCAACAGCCATTATAAGCGATTTCTCAGCATACCAAGGCGAAAATATTGGCTCTTGTGATTTGCACGGTGATGAGCCGATTGTAGTATAAATCGACAGATAAATAAAAAAATTAACATGAAATGAAAAAGAAATTAATATTAATAAGAACAAATTGTATAACCTAACATTCGTATATTATTGTGAATTACAATTAAATAATTGTGGACGAAATTTCAAGTAAAACTGAACCCAAGAAAAATTTCAAAAATTTAGATGTTAAGCTTAAGTGTTAAGGGAGTTTATATTTGCAAGAGCCTCCTTTGAAAACAGAAACCATTTTAAAACATATACAGTCGAGGCAAACGAAAAGAAACATAATTTTGTAAATTTTATAGAAATAACTGACTAAAAAAAAAAAGGAGAAAAAAAATTAACAAAAAGTTTAGACAAGTAAAAAAACAAAAAGAAAATGAAAATGAAAATAAAAAGATTGTGGTTTATCAATAAATCGAGAAAAAACACTAAAAAATATACTTGAATAAAAATTGTAGTTTAGGTTCTAAATCTAGCAAAAATACCAGATACTTCTCTTACGTACATAAGTGATATTTAATGTGGAATAATGGTAAAATAAAATTATAAATGATAAATGAAAGTAAAGACATGCTCCTTAACTAAAAGACATTTCTTATTCAAATATACTATATAGTATGTGTAATATTGTTTTGTTGAGCCAATGTTTTTGTTATGCAAATGTGTGTTATATATTTATATCTCTATATACCTTATTGTGTTCTCTAATCAAAACTTCTCTATGCTGCCCTCTAAACGAAAAAATTAACAATTTTCTGCCATTATAATTTTTTATTAAATATTTTTGAAATTTAGTTAGATTTAATATTTTGTTTAACAACAACAAAAAACAAATACTCAAATTGAAGCCATTTAGTTGCCTTGTAGTAAGTTAGTTATATAACTCGTGCTCTGATTTATGGTTTTCGTCAAGAATCTATTCAGCAACTTTGACTCTACGTATAAAAAATATGGAAACAAAATTATACAATACAAATAATTATTCTTATAAAACTGAAATCAAGTAGTAAGCGAAACAGCAAAATAAAAAAGAAACAAAAAATATATATATACATATATACAATACTTTATTATACAACTAAAAGGAAAGGAAAAAAACAACAGCAATGTAACCCAAATTACATTTAGTATGTAATAATTATTTCGAGTTATAATTTGAACAAATAAAAACAAAAATAGAATGAGTTAATATTTTGCGTCTTTATTCTGCTTTTGATCGGACTGTACGCTGATGCAGCCAACTTGCCAGCGTTGCCGGATGACAAAATTATTCCATTTTCATTAGAAGGCATCCTCATTTAAAAAAGATCCAGCGAATCGACTCTCCACTCGGCGTTTCTATTGCTTTTTCGCGATTACAGATTCTACTTCGTCTTGCGCGTGAATTTCATTAGCTGTAAATACCCGCATAATCGATATATATATACATGATCTTACCCAACTCAGTGAAACAGTTGTGCGCATTCATGCCACTCACGGATGACGATTCCATGGATATCAAATTGTGTAATGCTGCAAATTCCTGTGCTTCAGTATTGCTTATCACACGATTCTCTTCCATATCCGCTTTATTTCCGGCAAAAACAATCACCAAGTGAGGTGAGAGCTTTCATATTCAATAATATGCATGTATATTAATATTTATATTTGGATTAATCCACTCATTCACATCGCTATTCGTGGAACATACCTTTTCTCTTAGTTCAATTATCCATTTCATTGCATCTTCGAAACTATCGCACCTCTGAATATCGTAAATAATAATAGCTCCTCTACAGAGTTTGTAATACATGTATAATAGATCCTTGAAACTAAATAGAGTTTTTCAAAATCCTTTTTGAAATACTTTAAATGTATGTGTGTTAAATACCGTTTCTGCCCTGAAGTATCCCATATCTTTATCTTATTATCTCTCCTCCACTCTTTCTCTCGCACTCTCTCTCGCTCCACAGAAAGCTGTGGTTTCATGATAAGTAAGCATATAATATATGTGTAGGAATTTATAGAAACATTACAATTATATTTCGTTACTGCTTTTATAGATTTTCTCATTTATCAATACTAAACACCGAGTTGCATTCCTTTACCTTCTAAAAATATGTAATATGTAAAAAAAGGAAGCCAATATGATCAATGGTATATATATATTTTAATTATTTATTTTATTTTTTTTCATTTGACATCTGTTATGTTTCATAAGATAACCCATATCAGATATTATTATTTTTGTCCAATCCGTTTTTAAAATTTGATTTCATCAGCTGAAAAGCAATTATCGGACTAATGCCATATCTGAAGTTAAAAATCTCATGAATATTTTCGCCTGTTTTAGCCGATGTCTCCATGAATATATAGCCATTATCTCCAGCATATTTGCTCATCTCGGCTGAATCAACGTACATATTATCCCGCAAATCTATTTTATTAGCGGCTATGGCTATGACCAAAGTTGGGGCCAACTGAAGCAGTTGTTACATATAGAATATATGTACATATATGTATTTGGATCCCTAAATATAGTATTTTTCGTACAAACCTTTTCGCGTAATTCCTGAATCCACATTTTGCTGCAAATATAACTATACCGATCCTGAACATTATAGACAATCAGCGCGGCATGAGCATCGCTATAAAACATATGAGCCAGACTGTGCCAGCTGATCCTATATATATGTACATTTATGTATACACATTCATATCTACAACTAATACCTACCGTTCCTCGCCCGCCACTTCCCAGGTATCAAATTTGAGGACTTTATCCAGGTATAAGCTGGAAAACGATGCAACTATTGTTCTTTCCGGTACCTTTACAGTTTTTCCGTTGATAAAATAGGAAACCAGAGAGGATTTACCCACCTCTGCAGTGCCCAATATTACCAATTTGTAGCGTTTAATCAACCAGGCTACTGCCTCTCTATGTTTAGCCTGCGGTACGCCCTTTTTCAAGCACAACTGCACTTTAGGTTTTGGCATTTTGGCAATTGCTAAACTACATAATAGTATTTCTTTTTTGTTCTAGATATTTTTTTTTAGATTCTTCACGAAGCTAGTTCAATTTTCACTTTAATAAATATTTTTATACAACAAAAAATAATAACACTATTCAAATGGATGCTCAATTCTATAAATGAACGGAACCAGGAAGTGTTAAATAAAAAATTTTTTAAATCAATTTGAATTCTATTTTACAAATGATTTTCAGCTAAATTCCATAAAATGTTATTTCGATTTTTATATATGTATATATATATACGATTTTTATTATAAATTTTTAATTTTTAAATACATACATACAACATAAAAATTATAAATTGGAAAAAAATACACACAGCTGTTTAGGCGTCGCTTCTTTTCTCGCTGATTCATGTTTTCTTTTTTGCTTGGTTGATCGCTGATTGATATATGTATATATATACATATATAGATGTATATATATACATCATGTACATCTATATATAGTAAGTAGATTTGAAATCAAATACGATTTGTGAACCGAGATAAACAAATTGAGAACTTAGTTTTTTTTAGCAAGCTTTCTATTTGCTTTTTTTTTCATGCTTCAACTTGATCGGCTTTAGACTTCATTTTATATGTTGCATAAGAGGGTTTACGATAATTGATTTGTATCTTATTTAGTTTTAGATATAGCATTAAATCTTTGATTGTTGCTAGAGTGTGAAATAATAGTAGAAAAATGTAGAATATAGCTAAACAAAAATGGAACCAAAAAAAATATAACTATGAATAATTTCTTTCGATTTGTTTTGTATTTTTTAATTCTTTTTTTTTTTTTTTTTTTTTTAGATTTTCATTAGATTTGTTTTCTTTTGTTTGTTTTGCTTTTTTTATACGTGTATATATATAATTTATATAAATTGCAACTATCACACGTGTCCAACGCAGCTGGAGAGCCGGATAGACACACACATTGCCACAGATCGAGGACGAGCGATTTTTCTCTACTACGGATCTGATCTGAACTGAACCAAAACTGAACTGATCTTTCGGTTTATCATTATCTTCGTTATATATATATTTTTATGTATATATATATATATGGTTTTCTCTTATTTGGAACGCTGCTGAGAACAACTGCAACTGGAATTTTGTCGGCTTTCGTAAGATACACGAAAATATTTCTTTCTGCTATTTTCGTTTTCATTTTTTTACAATGCAAATTTTTGTTAAACATTTCTACGACACGACGTGAACTTGAATCCGCTTTCATTAATGCTTACGTTAAATTGTATTTAGAATGCGTCTATACGCATTTGTTTGAGATGAAATCGAAGTGAGAGCTCTCTAAATGGCGGCTATGAACTATGGGGCCAGATATAGTAAAAATATTGTTTTAAGAGCGCTTCTATCGCTTGGTGTTAACGGGGCTATGTGTTGTTGTTTATTTCCTTTTATTTAAACTAACTTTT